GTTTGACTTGAGTAGTAGCCTTGACTTGAGTAGTTAGTAGCCTTGACTTGAGTAGTAGCATTGACTTGAGTGGTAGCTTTGACTTGAGTAGCAGCTTTGACTTGAGTAGTAACTTTGACTTGAGTAGTAGCCTTGACTTGAGTAGTAGCTTTGACTTGAGTAGTAGTCTTGACTTGAATAGTAGCTTTGACTTGAGTAGTAGCTTTGACTTGAGAAGTAGCTTTGACTTGAGTAGTAGCCTTGACTTGAGTAGTAGCTTTGACTTGAGTAGTAGCCTTGACTTGAGTAGTTGCCTTGACTTGAGTAGTAGCTTTGACTTGAGTAGTAGCTTTGACTTGAGTAGTAGCCTTGACTTGAGTAGTTAGTAGCCTTGACTTGAGTAGTAGCTTTGACTTGAGTAGTAGCCTTGACTTGAGTAGTAGCTTTGACTTGAGTAGTAGCTTTAACTTGAGTAGTAGCCTTAACTTGAGTAGTAGCTTTGACTTGAGTAGTAGTCTTGACTTGAATAGTAGCTTTGACTTGAGTAGTATTTTTGACTTGAGAAGTAGCTTTGACTTGAGTAGTAGCCTTGACTTGAGTAGTAGCTTTGACTTGAGTAGTAGCTTTGACTTGAGTGGTAGCCTTGACTTGAGTGGTAGCTTTGACCTGAGTAGTAGCTTTGACCTGAGTAGTAGCCTTGACTTGAGTAGAAGCCTTGATTTGAGTAGAAGCCTTGACTTGAGTAGTAGCTTTCACTTGAGTAGTAGCCTTGACTTGAGTAGTAGCCTTAACTTGAGTAGTAGCTTTGACTTGATTAGTAGCTTTGACTTGAGCTGTTATTTGTTTAAAATGAGTAGACGTTTCTCAATTCGTCAGCCTCACACTCCCCCTTTGCCTTTTTGTTCCAATGGAAAGACTCTGATAAGACGACTAGAAAATATAACAGATTGCAGCACATGGCCAGCAGTGTTCTTATTTTATTTTGTTGTATGTCATTGTGCTTTTTATGTGTTACACATGGAAGAATTTGCCGGAATTTTCATTTTGTCAATCTGGTTGCCTACGGACATCACCGGGTTTGAATTTAAACTTTTCCTTTTCGTAAAGGCTAGTGATGTTGGTTCTTTCCTTTAATAGTGTGATTCAGTTTAGACCGCTCGGCATCCACATCAAGGCGATATTGAATAAAACTGCAACCAGCGGATCCTTTCATATATGCCTTTGCCTTGAATTTTTTCCCCAGGTATGAGACAGCTCTGAGACTTTACTTCAGTCACCCGGCGGTTGAAGGGATCATTTTCTGGGGATTCTGGGATCACGACATGGATCCCCAAATGGCCCTTGTCCACGGCAATTCTTTCACGGTGGGTTATTTATAAGGGATATCAAATGTAAATCTTGAAGTACAGATTTTTAAAAAAAATGGAAATAATTAGATAAATTTAAAAGTACATACTACACTACAAACACAATCTTGAATCATGATTTTGCTATTTTCGGCACTCTGTGCATTGTCGGAAAAAATCAATGATCAAGAGAAAATGTTATTGTCTCTCAATTAATAATTACTTTCTCAGAATATATTTGATTGAAGACGGGGGAAGCCAATTAAAAATTCTCTTTTACTTCGCCAGAATTTTCATTTTAAAGAATGCTTAATTATTTTTTTTAACAATTTGCTTTCGAGAGTTAAGTTTTTAAAGATACGATTATTTTATTGATCCAAATAAATTGAAATATTTTTTTTACTTCATTGTACATATACATTTATTTTTTTTAGCACATAGATAAATCTTCTTTTCAAGATAACAAAATTTAAATTAGAGAAATAATATTAAAACATTATACATCTGAAGCATCACAAGACGCAAAAATCAGCCATCATATTTAGACTTCATAACAGCCNGGGGGGGGGGAGCACGCTGGTAAAATCTAAAAGATTTGGGGGGAAATGAAATTTTATATATGATTCTGTCCTAACTTTGAGGTAATGAGTTCCCCTTCAAGAAGCTGATCATGGGATCTGTGATGAAGAAAGTGGGATGTATCCTCAGAATTTTCCAAATGCACATTGCTTTAAACCATTTTCCGAGCGGAGGTAGTTTTGTTTAAGCGATAGTAATTGCTTTCTTGATAAGTGCTTTACAATGGTGTTTGATGAAGGAAGATGAATTCCCACACCAAACAATTAATACTGAAAATCAATATTAATTCATTGCAGAATGTGTTAAAAAGTTATTTTTGTAACCATTCAAGATTATTTCAATACAGATTAAAAATTATACTATTTATAATAAAATGACCACAAAAAAAAAAGACATTTTTTTTTCTTGAAACACGCTAGCCCAGGGGTGGGCAAACGTTTTGTGCGGTGGGCCACATTGAAAAATGTAAGCTATTGCGGGGCCGCATGTGTATTATGTCCAATTTTTACATGTCGATAAACATTTCTCTCTATATTCAAATCGGATATTTTTACTTTTTAGCATTACCTGACGAAAGTCAAGGACTGTTTTAAAAAATAGAAAATTCGAAAGAAACTTGATCAAAAATGTTAAAACAATCATAACGGTACATGAAATTCTGTTAAATTCAGAAAAATAAATTAAAAACAAAGTAATCTGTTAAATTTATAAATGCCTTCGTGGGTCGCATAATATCAGTGGCCGGGTCTTAGTTTGCCCACCCCTGCGCTAGCCGTTTGGTGTTAAAAAAGTTTGGTATATGAAAACAATATCAACAAAATTATTTGTCATTCTTCGCCCATATGATTTTATCCCCAGCTGGACAAGGCCGGTCAGCGCTATCTCCATCTGACCAAAGAAGAGTGGAGCACATATCTGAACAGATCGCTGTCGTCGGGAACATCTTTCACCGCCAGGGGTTTCCAGGGAGATTACAACCTGGTCGTGTATTACAAAAACAAACCTATCAAGATACAATCTTTCTCTGTGGGGAAAACGGACGCCACGGTCAATGTGCAAATATCTGGAGACGGGCGTGAGTAACTGATGGCTTCTACTTTCAACAATCTCATTTATATATATAACAATTCTGAACTCATATTTTGAAATTTCAAATGCAAAGTCATCTGAAATGAAGAATTTTCAACTAATTATTTAAAGTTTGAAGGATCCTAGGCCCTGGAGATTTTAAAACACATTAAATAATGCACTTTACTTTATTAAATCAAAAAATCAAATAGTTCACTACTACACAATATTTTGCATTCTTGGTTTCTATTCTATTGGCGATGCAAAAATCAAGTCAATAATAATGAGCATGACCCAATTCTATTGTAATTTATTTTAATTCATTTATTTTGATTTCTCCTTAAGATGAGATCCAACTCCCGGTCCAGCACAACCCGTTCGCGAGTGTCGCCGTGACCCACTCCACCACCAGCGCCGGTCTGAGGAACGAGGGCACGGCCACATCGACATCCACCTCCCATCAGCTGGCGTGCGTAACCAGGTGGTCAGCCGTGTCTGAGGTGGGAGACGACAAAGCGGTCGAGGTGTCCTGCAACGCCAATGAGATACTCACCGGCTGTACCAGCTACCTTAAGGTAAGGACTGAATAGTTGATACTGACTTACTGTATCAGCTACCTTAAGCTATGGACTAAATGGTTGATACTGACATTAAAGTAAACACAGAATGGTTGAGATTAGCTTAACGTACTAGCTAACTCAAGTTAAGCAATGAATAATTAATAACTTACTGTTCTTGCTACCTTAAGGTAAGGACTGAATTGTTGATACTAACTTACTGTTCCTAATACGAATTTAATCCTTTTAAAACTCTGTTAGTGTTACGTAGTGTGTCTACAGCTTAAGGTAACTTTTTGTTTTACAAATAGTGGAGAAATGTTTTTTCTATAGACTACAGAGCTTAATGGATTAAAGAGCGTAAATGGGAAAACAGACAAGAGACATAATATTTCATGTATACATTTAAGATGACTTGTGTACATGTCTAACTGGCAATGTTAGTTGTAGAGGACTTCGTCAGGGCGAGACTTCAAGAGAAATCCAAACCCGTTCACGACATGTGTTTTTAGGGATACTTATTTTACCATCAGCATTGAGCTCTATCCCACATGTAATCATTAGTATGTGCTCAACGTCTATGACAGAACAACGACTGGCACCGAGATGGGGAACAGATTGGGTTCAGCAACGGAATGGCCACTTGTAAAGCCATCAACGGCTTCAGGACAACGCTGGGTAAGGAAGAGAACCCATCCTTCATTATAATAATTTACTTTATAGTGTCACAACCACTTTTGGCTGCGAATGAAGACACCATTTTACTTTAAATTGACTCTGTTTAAGTAATGTTAAATGGGAATATTTATGTGAACGCCTTCTTTCTTGTTATCAAGTGATCGTCTCCTTGTTATGTTTTCTATGTTTTTATTTCCAACAATAAACATGAACATAAATGTACATAAATACAAGTTCTCAATAATGTTGACTTTCTGCTTGCAAACGGAACACACGGTTCAATAACACACACGTTCACACAGTCTCTGCGCATGCGCGCTGTTTGACCTAGTTGGCTATCCGGACGGTCTAGTCCACTATAACACCCCTGAATGTTCTTATTTTTTTTATTATTTCAATGATTTTGTTGTTAAAATTGTAATTTTAACTGTTGAGTGAATTGCCTATTTTTACAGTTTTAAATCGTTGCTCTTCCAGAATGTTTCTTTGTTAATAGCATTATCTTTAAAATCTTTCCCAGCTTAAGATCATCGTGCTTTTGTCACACTTGAGTGTCCATTAAACCTAACGCGACACGCTACACTTACCCGTGTCTCTTAAACATCCAGGTATCCAGGCCAGCGCCAGGTGCTGCAGTCTGAGTGGACTGACGTGCACATACAAGACAGCAGGACCATCAGGAACTGGGGTAGATGACCAGGTCATTATCCCGTGTGGTGCTGATGGGTACCCTCTAGGTCAGTGGTTCCCAAACTTTTCCTATTCTCGGTGTCCTTGATAAATACCTGGTTTTTCAAAAATCGTCTAATGATAAAATCGATTTTTTTTTCAAAGCACAGCGAAATAGAGAATAATTTTTGTTGCTTTTTGATAGTGTGAACTTTTGTTTTTATTAGCCTTGTTTAAAACCCTTTAACTTCCTGTGTTTAACTGATATGTTTGCTTCCATGCCTTCACACAGGCTGTGCCACATTTACCTACATGTCCGACTCAGATGGTACTCTCATCACAAACACATCCTGCGTTGGTCAAAATGATGGTCTTGCTGCCGGTAAGATGTCTGATAGTTTCGTTATCTTTCAATGTAGATACTTGCGCCTGGAAAGACTTTTTTTACTAGCAAATATCACAGAATAAGCGTAAATTGTTAACCCCTCGTGGATAGAGCGTAGGCCACCAACCACTATCTTTCCACGCCTTCCAGTCATTTGCAACCTTCTAAAACTCTTTCAACACCTTACAATCATAATCACATCTTTTGCGACATCATTTCACCGGGTGTATTTGGGTTTTCCCAGTTCTCTTAATCATCGAGGTTTCCCGGCCAGTGCTCTGCCCTATCTGTTTTCTTAAGCAATGTCTGTTTCGTATACTATTAATCTTAACAAGGGAGGGGGGAAGAGGGGGGGGGGGGGGGCTCTCAAAAAAATGTAAGAGGAGCAACCATCCCAGATTTCTATAACTCTCATTTTATGCAATCAAGAAAATCATATGAAAGTCAGCCGTAGGGGGGGGGGGGAGGGGGGGGGGGGGGGCTCTCAAAAAAATGTAAGAGTAGCAACCATCCCAGATTTCTATAACTATCATCTTATGCAATCCAGAAAATCATATGCAAGTCAGCCGTGCAGACGCCTAGTTACATTACGGTCCATTGTCTAGAAATCATACTTAGTTATAGAGCAGCGGTTCTCAACCTGTGGGTCGCGACCCCTTTGGGGTCTCGGGACCCTTTTCCATGGGTCGCCTAATACCATCTGAAAACATATATCCTTACAGCTATGAAATAGCAACGAAAATAATTGTGTGGCTGGGGGTCGGCATGACACGAGAAACTGTATTAAGGGGTCGCGGCACTAGAAAGGTTGAGAACCACTGTTATAGAGGATACAAAAATGGTTATATGCGGGCAACCCAAGAAAAGTATTTAATGTTAAAAAGCATTCAATGTTATAAAGCATTCAATGTTATAAAGCATTCAATGTTATAAAGCATTCAATGTTATAAAGCATTCAATGTTAAAAAGCATTCAATGGTATAAAGCATTAAATGTTATAAAGCAGTGGTTCTTAACCTGGGTTCGATCGAACCCCAGGGGTCGGTGAGTCAGTCTCAGGGGTTCGGCGGAGGTCCCCAAAAAATCAGGAAAAAAAATTCATATTTTATTTTTTCCTATTAAGAATTTAAGAAGGGTTCGGTGAATGCGCATATGAAACTGGTGGGGGTTCAGTACCCCCAACAAGGTTAAGAACCACTGTTATAAAGCATTCATTGTTATGAAGCATTCAATGTTATAAAGCATTCAATGTTATAAAGCAGGAAAAAGTACTTCGTTGTTGCAACATTCAAATTTTACACCTTGACCCTAGTGTCTTTAACGTTCCATTTCCAGGTGTGGTCTCATACGCCGCCTGCTGTAAAGGTGGAAACATCAAATGCACCACCGTCCACTCAGAACCCGGTGGTCATCCGGTGGGTGCCAGATCCACTGTCCAGTGCCCGGCCGGTCAGGTCATGACGGGATGCAATGTGTACACGCCCAACGCTAAAGCTGCCGGGGCCTTCATTGAGAGTAAGCCTATCTACCTTCTGCAGTGCTGTGTTAAATTGTTTGGTCTGAATGTCATGGATAGGATTGTGTAAATTAAAAGTGTTTTACTGAATATGTTTAATCCTCACTAACAACAGGTAATACGGGTAACACTACCATCAAGTAACATTAGCAATATAACATCAACAAACAGTGGTAATAGATGGCGATTAGTTTTGTCGTTTCCCACACATACGACTATGATGGGGATAAGTTGTCATGATATTATAAAAAATCCTTGAACCTCGAAACAGGGGCGTAGCTCGGATTCGTGTTATGCGTGGGGGGTGGGATTGGGGACAGGATTTTGTCGCACTCTTTCACAACCACAACTCTGCAATTGGTCCAAAATGGCGCCTAGCCAAATAAAGAAAAAGAGATCCTCCCGTGTTGGACCTCAGACCAGCTTCATACGCCTCTGCCTCGAAAGTCCTCGACACCGATGATCTTAGAGCTTGTAATATGAACTCTTCATCGTGTAATCGTTCTCTGTTCATACCAATTCTGTCAGGTAATGTTGAATTGCACCATATATCAGCACACACTCACATTTAAAAAAAAATCATTACCAAGGCTGCTATGTTATTTTTTTTTAGAATTGTGTTTTTTTTTTTTTTTTTTGGGTTTTTCCCGGGTTTGGATTTTTTTTTTTTTTATTGGGTTGTTTCCCGGGTTTGGGCTGGGAGGGGGGGGGTGGGTATTAAGCAGTTAATTGTTACTCATTTTATGATTTTCGGAAGAAAGAGGGTTTTTTTTTTTATATATACATAACGATTATCTTAACACAATAATCATCTTGCTCTCCCTAGCAACCAACGGAGTCGATCACTGCGTTGCTGTCAATGGCTACGAGAGGTTTGGAAATGAGGGAGGTGTTGTAGCGTACGCCACTTGCTGCCACGTATAACAGCTTGAGAACTTTATGGATATTGAGGCGTCACGACAGGTCATCTTTTGAGCAACGTAAAATCACGTCGATGGGAACTCGCACAATACTTTAATTTCGGGGTGAGTGGGGGGGGCTTGAGGGGGCGCGAGGGGGGGGGCGACACAAACTATTTTTTTTGGACAGTTTGAAGAAATGATGACCTGACATTTTCATGTGCAAAATTTCATGGATTAAAAGCCAGATGATTCAACAATGCATTTATTTTATTTGAATTGTGTAGTTTTTTGTTTTTTTTTCTTTTCTAAGTTATAGTCAATAACAATAAGCATGACCCGATCCGCTGTTTAGTTATATCACAATAACCTGAGGAGCTACAGATGCGAGCGTGCCCTTAAATAAAAGCAGAAAAAACAAACAAAACAAAAACAAAACAAAAAAAATTAAAAAAATAACAACATAAAAGAGAAGAAAAATAACAAGAAAACACCCCCGCGAAACATAAAGACACACAATTACTAAATAAGATCTTTAAGTCCCATCCCACAAGACTTGCTTCATATTGTTCTAGCTTTAGGTCAACTTTAAGAAAGTCCGGGGGTAGTATGAGGCCATCTTTCATTCGTTAAGTTGAAGTTAAATAGATGTCCTTTTCAATTTAGGTGTGTGGCGGTCCATCGGATGTATATTGGTGTACAGCAGTCCCTCACAATAACGGCACTATTGGGACCGGACCCTTGCCGTTAACCGTGAAGAACGTCGGTCGGTAAGCTACGGTCCTTCTTGTGCCCCGCGAGTGCCTGCAAGCAAAGCTACGTGCTTTGAACCAATATAAATTAAGCGTGCAATAATGCAAGATGTAAAACCGTGATAGAAAATGAAACGTATGTCACGTTTACATTTCAGACATTTGTCTAGCAGTTTGGTGATAGCGTCTATTCGTTCGTGCGTGGGTGCGTTTCCTTTCCGCACAACACTTTGTAGCAGTGAGTATCGCGTACGGAGGTTTAAGCCGTTAAACCTTTAGTCGCCCTTACCGCGAGGTTCTTTAGTACTCGTGAGCCGATCTTCAGAGCCTCTACGTTTGAGCCGTTCTGCCCAACTTCGCATGCATGTGACTAAATGTGACCCCAAATTTCAAGGGAAGAAGACGCAGATACGCCCCCCCCCCCAATTTAACGGTATCGGGATCCCACCGGTAAACGGGATCACACTAGGATTATGATACAACCGGGATCGGGATAACACCGGAAAACGGAATACCGATGCGATCGGGAACCCACCGGGTTCGGAATACCAACGGGCTCAGGAACCGACCGTTTTCAGGATCCCATCGGTATCGGGGTCCCACCGGTGTCGGGATTCCACCGGGATTGGGATCTCACCGCATCGGGATCCAACCGGGATAAGTGATTATACTCAGATTATGATACAACCGGGATCGGGGGCAAACCAGGATCGGGATCACACCTGGATCGGAATCACACCAGGAAATGGGATCCCGAGAGAATCGGGAACCCAGAAGGATCGGACCATAATTCTACCAGGACCGTGATGTAACCGGGATTAGGATATCACTGTGATAGGGATACCAAAGGGATCGACAACACGCAGGGGGCGGAATACAGACTGGATCGGAAACACACAGGTATTGGGACCACCGGTATCGGGATCCAACCGGAATCAGGATCCAAACGGGGTCAGGGTCCCTCTGGATAACGGGATACCATTGGACAACGAGATCCCGTCATCGGGAAACGAAATTTTTACAAATGTTACTTTAAATATGTATTTATATGAGAGATATTATTTATTTTATTTGTGTTTTTGATTTTTTTTCTTGGCGCCTAATTTCAATGTTAATTAAAAGGGTGTAGAAGTTCAAGTTTTTTCCAAATGCAATCCCGTGCAACGCCGGGTATATCGGCTAGTTTTATTTAATTGTAGAGGGGTGTTATCTGCCAAATGAACTAAACTCTTGCCTTGAAATCATTTGAGATACGTCTTTGGTGGGGAATTTGAGGGTATGAGGGGGTGGGGAATTCCGAACAGGATTTAATAAAATTCAACTCCATAAGTCAGAGGGTCTCAAACTTTTTTAGCAACATCGCAACCCCTCTCGACTTCACAACATATGTCCTGCATTCATCAATTTTTAAAATGCTATAAAAATGCTAATAAACTCGATTTTCCGTGAATCCCGGACTACCCAAACACTGCATCTTGAACGCTCAGGGGGGATCGGGTAGCCTTAATTTTAGAGCCTCTGTCATAAGTAAACGTTAAAATTTACTTTAGAGGATGGTATTCTGGTTATCTACAGACATTATTGTATAATCTATTTAACAGATGTATAAAGTTGGGTAAAATGTTTAACATCTAATAACAAGAGAACCATTAGGAAGTATCGAAGCCTTATAATTTGAAGTCAACAAAATGATGTAGCGAATCATCTGATTATCTTATAATAACTAAGGAATGTCAACTAACACGTCTCCCATCAAAATTTTCATTTGACAGTTTCTGGTTTGATCTTTAGTTTATAGATTAAAATAAGGAAAACACAATTTTAACAGGAGCGTACCTGGGGTTTTTGACGCCCTTGGCTAATATATCTTTGGTGCCCTTTTGTTTAAATAAAAATTTTAAAAGTTAGAGATTTAGCGGCGCCCTTTTGAACTGGCGCAGGCCGACGTCCTTGGCAACTGCTCCAATGCCAAGCCGTTGTTAGGCCACTGAATTTTAATCTCTATTAGCAATACTTGGACCCAGATTTTAGTGTTTTTTTTATTAAGCAAGATAAGATTTATTTGACTATCACTTTGTTGCATAATCTCTAAACCCAAGCGAAGAAAATCTGAACGTCCGTATAAAACAGTTGTTTTTCTTCCACCAGAGTTAATTTGTGAAACGTGTCTGTCTGGAGAGGATGAGATTGAAATACTTCCTAGCGGTAGCCTCCATATTGGTGTGGGGTGCCCATTCTGCCCCGGAACTGCTACCGAATCCTGGTTTTGAGAGTGGCCTCACAAACTGGCTCCATGACGGTTTCCCGATGACCGCCGATACGTCACAGCATCACGGCGGCGCAACGTCTGCCAAGTGCACGGGAAGGTCAGTTTATTATACATCTAAAAGTTGTCATGGAAAATTTAATGGGCAACATGTTTAAAAATTTTGAAATTTGCCTTTTGGTGAGGTGCAAGCAAATGTTTCATTCGATTTGTCTTCACCGCGATGTCACGGCCAGACGGCTACTGAGAAACGTAGAGTTTTTGTTAGTCCGCTATTAAATAAAGCGATTTTGTTATTTATTCGTAAATCGGTCGATGTAGATTAAGTTCATTTAATGCACACATATATATATATATATATATATATATATATATATATATATATATATATATATATATATATATATATAATATTTACAAATCAATTTCTTTAATTGTTACGCACTGCCTTCTATAGTGAGAAATTAATCTCTTATTTTAAGTTTATAGCTCGTTCTAAACAGTGCCTAGCAAAGGACGATACCATATTATGAGAAATGCAATAGCAAAAAATACGACACTCAAAGCAGTTGCTAATTACAATTAATAAGATTTATATAAGTATAAATATAATTACAAAATAAAAGAAATATAATTAAAAATCATCAACTAAGAGAGTATGGTATGTTTTGTACCAGTACAAAGTTAATAAAATGTGCCGAAAATAAGGTGTAATGATGAATACGAATTCACACACACAGAATAACACACTACTGTCATGTGAAGTAAATAATATCACCTTCTCTACGCTCTCTGAATCCCCTTTATATCTATGCGTTGGTAGAACCGACGCATCTGGAAACGACGTACACATTGTTTACCTGTCTAGTTCACTCCCGAACTTTCCACAAAATTCTATTAAAACATATCACTTATTTTTTAGTTGGTAGTGGTAGTAAACAAGGCAAAGATCAAAGGGAGCAAGCCACCTCCAATACGAACGCAGCCTCATTTGGGGGTCAGACAGAGTTCACGGCACGGGGAAAGTGACGTAAACACGTCTTCTACATAACATAACTCATAAGCTTTTTTTTTTTTTTTTTTTTTTCATTGTTTTATCTAGGGTTATTACCTACTGGTAGGGGGCAAGATTTTTTTTTTTTTTTTTTTTTTTGCAATGTTATAGCTAGGGTTAATACCTACTGGTAGGGGGCAAGATTCTTTTTTTTACCCTCCCCCCGCCCACGAAAAATCTCCTCTATTTACCAAAGGTACCGCGCCTCACTATATAGAGACAAAAGTGCCGTCCATGGTCGAAAATGCCCCCACCCCCTTTTTTTTGTTAAAGCTAGTGCTTGTGCTACACACGATTAAGAATGTTCATTCCAACAATATCACTAGGATGGAAATTTGGGATTTTTCAACAAAGTTTCAACAAAACTCATGGCCTACTGGAGAGGGGCTTAAGGTGTTTTGACTTTTTCTACATGCGTTTTACGTTATAATAGGTCATACGTCTTGATCTCTTATCGTACTGTAATGTGATTTATTTTTGAAAATAAAAATACGTTATTTCGGGAAATCTGTTTTTGATTAATATCAAAGGAAAAGGTATATAGCCCTAAAGAATGTTCGACCATTGACAGGATCCCGAGTACAAGAAAACCAGCAGAAAATAAATATTTAAAAATTGGGAAGAAGTAATTCGGCCAACAAAATAATCCGGATAGTATTGATGTTAACCCTTTGAAACCGATTCCATGAGTTCATGTTGAAAGACTTTAATAGTAGATTTTGGTGGATGAGAAATTTTGCAAATGCCTACTTCAAATATTGAAAATATGGCTCTTTATCTTGGTAATAAATATTTCTTTTTTAAATACTTAGGAAGAATTGCTCTGAGTAATAATCTACTCTATATTAGAGTGAAGCTCATTTTTTTTTTAAAGTGTTTATTTATGAAAACATAAACAAAGAACGTATTAAAAACATCTAATAATATATATTTAAAAAAAATAAATTTAAATTTCCTATAATATTATGCATTTCCATGTTGGAAAAAGGTCTTTACATTTTTTTTTCAAGTTAATTTCCCGTCTCAGAATAATAACATTTTACTATAGGAAAGGGAATTTTCTTTCAGACTTCTGAAACACCTGGTTAAGCGATATTCAACGAGGTATCAATATATGTGTGGATGCTGTTATTTTATCTTTAAACAGAACTCAAGCCTGGCAAGGTCCGGCACAGGTAGTTCACGTTAAATCAGGGAGCCGTTACGCCTTCCATATTTACATTCGATTGGTCGGTGACCTCCCAGGCACCGTGTACCAGTCAGCTGGAGTCACCATCAACTTGAAACGAAAGGACAATGGTCAGTCAAACTACCAATTATTTTTTTGTTTAATTTGTTTTAGTCTTCTTTTTTTGTTTTTTTCGGGGGAGGGGGGGGGGTGTTGGGGTGAAATGAATTGAGGTCAATAATAGATTGCTTGTTGCAGTCAGTGTGTTCAATTTTAAAGCCGTGTGCTCGTAATGGTATGTGAAGCGATGTGTTGGGGTGAAACGAATTGAGGTCAATAATAGATTGCTTGTTGCAGTCAGTGTGTTCAATTTTAAAGCCGTGTGCTCGTAATGGTATGTGAAGCGATGTTTTGGGGTGAAACGAATTGAGGTCAATAATAGATTGCTTGTTGCAGTCAGTGTGTTCAATTTTAAAGCCGTGTGCTCGTAATGGTATGTGAAGCGATGTTTTGGGGTGAAATGAATTGAGGTCAATAATAGATTGCTTGTTGCAGTCAGTGTGTTCAATTTTAAAGCCGTGTGCTCGTAAGGGTATGTGAAGCGATGTTTTGGGGTGAAATGAATTGAGGTCAATAATAGATTGCTTGTTGCAGTCAGTGTGTTAAATTTTAAAGCCGTGTTCTCGTTATGGTATGTGAAGCGATGTTTATTGTCATGTTTGGGGTAAGGCGATCTGAAGATGTATTTTGTGGAGACATTATCAGCAGCGAGGGAAACAAAAAGCCCCTTTTATCGATGATGGTTTTAATTAGTTTGTTTGTTTCGGAGTTGTTGTTGTTTTTTTTTAAAGTTTATTTTCACATAAAATGAGAAATGTTATATGTATTGAAAAAGATCGTAGTTTTAGTTTACTAATTTCAAAGATAAAAAAAAAAGGAAGAAAAAAAAAAAAGTTATGTGCTGATAAAAAAGTAGTTCTCATCGGAAAATGCCATTCTAATTTCCCCAAAACAGTAGCGGACGAATACGTATGTATTAAAAAAGATCGTAGTTTTAGTTTATTAATTTCAAAGATAAAAAAAAAAGGAAGAAAAAAAAAAGTTATGTGCTGATAAAAAAGTAGTTCTCATCGGAAAATGCCATTCTAATTTCCCCAAAACAGGAGCGGACGAATACGTCACTATCACGCATCAACAGTTCTTGACCGCTGCCGATGGATGGGTGCAGCTAGGAGCAGATTTTTTTGTTCCGAACCGAGGTAATCGTGTGAGTTTTGTGGTCTAAAGGAATTATTCATTCCCTATCTTGTGGTCATCCTCCCTTCCCACCGCTCTTATTAAGGCGCGTGGATTAGTGGTAGAAAAATGTTCTCCAACTACAAATTTTGTACCACGCAAAGTCATCTCCTATGTAGCAAACAATCTGGCTTCGTTTAAATTATTGTTAGTAGATTTTTTTTAAAGGTTTTATTATTATTATTTATTTTTTTGTGATGAGAAAAATTCTAATCTCGTTTGACCACTCTCTTTTTTTTTTTTTTTGGTTGAAAAATTAAAAAAAACAATAACCTATTTCCAAAGAAAATTACATTTTTCTAATATAACAAAATCAGTATTCCATGTTCATCTGTCCAAGAATACACCCATTTTTTTGATGAGAAAAATTCTAATCTCGTTTGACCTCTCTCTTTTTTTTTTTTTTTGGTTGAAAAATTAAAAAAAACAATAACCTATTTCCAAAGAAAATTACATTTTTCTAATATAACAAAATCAGTATTCCATGTTCATCTGTCCAAGAATACACCCAGGCTAAGATCTTCGTCGAAGGGCTGGACCCGCACGTCGACTTTTACGCGGATGACGCGTCGCTGACGGAAATAGCCGAAGACACGAATTGGAAGGCGGATGCCAACAGCAGGATCGAATCCCTCAGGAAGAGCAACATTCACTTCAAGTGAGAGAAGTCTATGATATCTAATAGTGGGGACAATGTACGCGGGGTTATTTTAAAAACATTCACTTCAAGTGAGACAAGTCTATGAGATCTAATGGTGGGGAGGACAATGTACACGGGGTTATTTTAAAAACATTCACTTCAAGTGAGACAAGTCTATGTGATCTAATGGTGGGGAGGACAATGTACACGGGGTTATTTTAAAAAAAACATTCACTTCAAGTGGGACAAGTCTATATTTCATCTAATCTGAGACATAATGTGTACCAGGTTAATTTCAAAATATGCAGGATTCAGAAAATTAAATATAAACAACAACATTTCAAAATAATTTTTTTATCAAATAAAAATCTAAACTCATCAATATTGCCTCACTCAATCAATTACGAATTTCTAAAATAATAATAATAATAATAATAATAAAACTGGAATCTTAACAATTTTTGTAAAAACAAAATTAACTTGGTCGACTTTAGACTCAATATTTTCTTCAAACATTGAAAGAAGAAATTCTTTCTTTGAAAATAAAACCAGATTCGATTTCACATCCACAGTTTCAACGTAGCTTCAAACTTCAACGTCAACGACCTAAGAGTGCAGGTACGTCATGTTACAACATCCGGAAAAGATCAGGGAATATGTATTTATCAAACAAAAGTCATTGTTTTACATATTTGTAACACAAATTAGTGTAATTTAAATCTGAACGAAACAAAAAGGGGTTGGCGTGAGTGACTGAGTGAGGCGCTTCTCATTCATGTGACTCAAGAATGTCTCGGAGAAACAAAAATGGTTTACAATTCCTACATGGGCTAATTCTCTCTGTTCATTGAGATGCTCATGTGCCAAAAAAAATATTTTTTTTTGAATGTAATACATTATTTTCTGTTATTTTAAGTTGTTGTGAAATCATGCTCAGCGATGACGTCAAGTGTGAAATATTTGTTGACAAGGTGTTTAAAAAAAATATTATTCTGCTGCTGCTGTGTCAGAGACCTACATTTCATTGTATAGTAATTTTACATCTTCACATTGCTTTAGCTGTAACTTCCGACCCCCATCCTGGCTTCTGGTCCTAGGAGCTTTCCTCTTTGAATGTGATGTGAACTACACTCTCCACTGTTGAATCTTGCGGTAAAAGTTGCAACACATGAATTTTCTTGTTTTACACTGGTCAGATTGACCACACCAAACACCTGTTCGCCTTCGGCACACAAGCGACCGCAGACTACATCGTGAACCCCGACTACCGTCAGTTTCAGAACATCCTGTACCACATGTTTAACTGGGTCACCATCCAGGAATACAAGTGGACGTTCAACAGGGGAACCCGAGTGAGTCTTAGCCGATATGTAAACTATAAAAAATATAGTAAAATTTTATCATCTTAATTTACATTTAAAAAAAGATAATTCCTTTAAAAAATTGACGCTTGAAATGCTATCTTGTTCTCATTCTCCTGTTAAAAAACGTGTATGTTATTCATAGGAGCATCCAGATTATTCAGTCGCAGTGGCGGCAACAGATGAACTTAGGAAACATGGGTAGGAAATGTTGCACTATATTTGAATACATATTTAGGAAATGTTGCGGTATATTAGAAGACATATTTAGGAAAAATTGCGGTATAATAGAAGACATATTTATGAAATGTTGCACTATATTAGAAGACATATTTAGGAAATGTTGCACTATATTTGAAGACATATTTAGGAAATGTTGCAGTATATTAGAAGACATATTTAGGAAATGTTGCAGTATATTAGAAGATTAGAAGACATATTTAGGAAATGTTGCAGTATATTAGAAGACATTTTTAGGAAATGTTGCAGTATATTAGAAGACATATTTAGGAAATGTTGCACTATATTTGAAGACATATTTAGGAAATGTTGCAGTGTATTAGAAGACATGTTTAGGAAATGTTGCACTATATTTGAAGACATATTTAGGAAATGTTGCAGTATATTAGAAGACATATTTAGGAAATGTTGCAGTATATTAGAAGACATATTTAGGAAATGTTGCACTATATTAGAAGACATATTTAGGAAATGTTGCAGTATATTAGAAGACATATTTAGGAAATGTTGCACTATATTTGAAGACATATTTAGGAAATGTTGCGGTATATTAGAAGACATGTTTAGGAAATATTGCACTATATTTGAAGACATATTTAGGAAATGTTGCGGTATATTAGAAGACATATTTAGGAAATGTTGCACTATATTTGAAGACATATTTAGGAAATGTTGCACAATATTTGAAGACATATTTAGGAAATGTTGCACTATATTTGAAGACATATTTAGGAAATGTTGCAGTATATTAGAAGACATATTTAGGAAATGTTGCGGTATATTAGAAGACATATTTAGGAAATGTTGCAGTATATTAGAAGACATATTTAGGAAATGTTGCAGTATATTAGAAGACGTGATTAGGAAATGTTGCACTATATTTGAAGACATATTTAGGAAATGTTGCAGTATAATAGAAGACATATTTAGGAAATGTTGCACTATATTTGAAGACATATTTAGGAAATGTTGCAGTATATTAGAAGACATATTTAGGAAATGTTGCAGTATATTAGAAGACATATTTAGGAAATGTTGCACTATATTAGAAGACATATTTAGGAAATGTTGCAGTATATTAGAAGACATATTTAGGAAATGTTGCACTATATTTGAAGACATATTTAGGAAATGTTGCGGTATATTAGAAGACATATTTAGGAAATATTGCACTATATTTGAAGACATATTTAGGAAATGTTGCACTATATTTGAAGACATATTTAGGAAATTTTGCACTATATTTGAAGACATATTTAGGAAAGGTTGCACTATATTTGAAGACATATTTAGGAAATGTTGCACTATTTTTGAAGACATATTTAGGAAATGTTGCAGTATATTAGAAGACATATTTAGGAAATGTTGCACTATATTTGAAGACATATTTAGGAAATGTTGCAGTATATTAGAAGACATATTTAGGAAATGTTGCAGTATATTAGAAGACATATTTAGGAAATGTTGCACTATATTTGAAGACATATTTAGGAAATTTTGCAGTATATTAGAAGACGTGATTAGGAAATCACGGATATAATCACGGGGGATTAGTAAATATGGGTATAAAATGCAGCAGTGTATTCAGTAAATATTTCTTTTAAAATTAATAGCAAGAAAGCCCCTTTAAATTACTTGATTTAATTTAGTTTTAAATGCCACGTCAACGAAGTTTTATCTTCTAACATCCATGGCCCAGATTACATGTACGCGGTCACTGTATGTTCTGGGCAGTACCCGGAAACCAGCCAAGCTATGCAACATCACTGACTGGTCAAGCCATGAAAGATACAGTTGAGCTACACATTAAACATATGACGGAAATCACTAAGGGAAAGTAAGTCTGTGATAATTTTTTTTGTTAACGTTGTTAAAAAGAAAAATTGGAATTTATAAAAGAAATAATTAAAAACTTGTATATGGAAATTATTGCGTACACAGTATCGGACTTCAAACATTTATTCCTCATATCAGTTATTGTGTTAAAAATAATAATTTAAAAACAAACACAAATAATAATTAAATAATAATTGTAAAAAAATTTTTTTTAAAAAAGCTAAAATTATAACGATAATAGATTTTATTTCTTGAAAAAGTTCCTTTACTTAAATAGTAATCATGGTTACAATGTGGTCGTTTCTCTTGTCAGACTGTAGAATGGTGTGAATGTTTTGCAGCAAACAATTCCTTTATATTTTACTTCTACTACCTTTAAAGCAAAAAAACAAAAAAAACAAAAAACAATAAATTAAAATTCTTCCTTTGCGTAGAAATCTAAAACAAAAATTTGACAAATAATTAATATAATGCAAAATCTGTCACACGTTGTCAAATTTTTAGTTTTTTTTTAGGTTTCCATCATTTTTGTATGCTTCATTTCTTTTTATAACATAAAATCTACACACACACACACACACACACAAAATACAACTTGTCAACAACAACTTTTACTTACTCTGTCTCTCTCGCACTAACTTACTCACTCGCTCTCCCTCCCCATCACCCCCTCCTCCCGCCAGACTGTCGCATTGGGATGTCGACAACGAGCTTCTCCACGGCCATTTCTTTGAGTCCAAGACTGGCGATAAGAACTATACGTACCACATGTTCCAGGCCGTGCACGCAGCTGACCCCACGCCGAGCCTTTTCCTCAACGACTACAGCGTGTTGGTCAACGGGAATTCCACTTTGGTACTTTTACCAAATCATGGCATGGCCATGTTCTAAACCATGGGTCTCAAACTTAAATTAGCTGGGGGGCTGCTGGAGGTAGAGTCTGAGTGAAACTGGGCCGCATTAAGTAATCCACACAAAAAAGTGAATACAAATTCAAGTACAGCTGTTACAATCTGCTCAAACTTTATTCATCACAAATAAAACAGTAAGGGTTCTCAAGAACAAGGCTTCACTAACTTTCTTCTTCTACTTTTTGCCGGAGACCTGGCAGCGCTTCTTCTTACAAAGCTGAGCATCATGTGGCTTAAGGGAGGAAGCAACTGAAACCCTCGGTATAGCTTGAAGATGGTCATCAGTAAGTTTCGCCCTAGTTCATAGTGAGAAGAGCTTTTCACACAGATACGTACTCCCAAAAAGGCACATGATCTGCTTGAACAACATGAATATCTTAGGGAAGTTGGAGTGCAATTCTCTCATAAATTGTCCAAGCTTGACTGTTTTTCTATTCACCTCCATGAACTTAGCCTTGAGTTCCGAATGGTACTCAAGTTCAATCAGCTCCATTTGAAGCGCAAAAAAAGTGTGGGGGGGGGGGGGGGGGGCAGTCCTGCATTGAGGAGAAAGGGTCAGCAAAAATTTGAAAATTGGCTCTGTGTGATTTGAAGTCTGTAAACCTGTGATCAAATTCTCCGGTAGCTTTTCAATGGCATCATTATACTTACTACTAGTATTTTACCCGAGTCCATGAGTATTTTGCATGTTGGAAAATGGCAGAGGTTTCTCCAGAAAACTTGGCATTCCATAGCACAAGTTTTGTGCGGAACTCCCTTAGTAATGTCAACAAGAAAAACAAAGTCCATAAACCATTTGGGATCACTTACTACAGGAACACTCACCCTATCCTACTCCATGAAGGCTTTTATTTCTTCTCTCAACTCAAACAATCTTTTCAAGACGTTTCCCCTACTAAGCTAGCGTACCTCGGTGAAGTAGATAACATCCTCATATGCCTCTAAAAGGGCACGGAACTGACGGTGCTTCAAGCCCCTGGATCTGATATGGTTGATGGATTTCACAACGTCAGACATCAAATTGTCAAACTTCAGGCATTTGCTGCAAAAGACCTGCTGATGGATAATGTATTGTAGTGCAAGGGCCTCTTCCACACCCTCCTCTTCCCGTTTTCTTTAAATATGTGTCACGAGTTCATTTTACTTTCCCTGTCATTGATGGCGCTCCGTCGGTTGTTTTCCTGCATAATTTTTCCACTGTGAAACGGCATCCACAAGGGCATCACACAGCTGGCGCAATTTCTCCCAAACAGTGGTCTGACCATTCATTGGAATCCCTTTGAGCAACTCCTGCATCACTTCAAAATTAGCATCGACACCACGGACATATATTGCGAGCTGTGCAGTGTCAATAACATCTGAACTCTCATCAAGAGCGACTGAGTATACATGGAAATGTTTACCGTTCTCGCACAGTTGATCATAAATGTCAACTGACAGCTCAGAAAAGCGCTCTGCCACTGTGTTGGCAGAAAGGCTGATGTTGCTAAACTGACCCTAACTTTCCGGACAAACTAAACTTGAAGCTTGTAACATGCAATTATTGATGAATTCGCCTTCTTTGAATGACTTTCCTGCCTTAGCAATCATCTCACTCCCCACGTAACTAGCTTCAACTGCTGCATCACTTTCTTTGTTTGCGATCTTGAAAAAATCCTGCTGCCTCAGTCGACATGTTTTAAGTTTAGCAACCCGGGCCTCTCTCTCATCTCCCTGGAAATTGTTTGCGCTTATCGCCAACGTTTCTAATCACAGCAGGTTTTGAGGAAGACATGACTGGTGTCTGGTGACACAAATATTTATTTGCCCTGTTTGATAAATTATATTTTCCTTCCTCTCGGTAACACTCCCAAATCATTTTTCACGATACTAAGCTGACAGGTTCGGAATTTCCGTCACTCGTCACTGGTACACATTAGCGGCAATTTTAATAGGTATTGTTTGATACTGTGTCAGATTGCTACGATTTACACAGTTCGAAGCGTGTTTTCTCAAAACCGCACTTAGGCCATATTTGTCTCATCATATGCTATCAAATAAAACCTTTAAGTCCAATTTTAAAAGTTTTTTACCATTATGATCAACGTCAAAACCTATATGTATTTATATAAATATAATAAAAATCAGAATCAGACTAGTCGGTGAGATTCGACTGAAATCGTCGCGGAGGGTCACATTTTTATAGATATGAGAATGTTGACAACGCCCGGGTCGCATTAATACTAAACTTTGCTGTCAGGTAAATGGCCCGCGGGCCGCTAGTTTGAGACCGCTGTTCTAAACTGATCTTTCTTGCTTACACTGTTAACACACGTGCGTCATACGCGCAGCTTATAGGAATAGCTAAGATAAGTAAACTGGTATAAAAAAAAAGATAGGTCATTGAGTTTATCAAGTAAGTCAGAATATATACACTACTGTCTCGATTAGTGCTGTGCGTTAAAATGGTGCATTTGGGTAAAGGTGCGTAAGGGCAAGGCGCACTGATTTTGAAAAGACCTAAGATGGCGAATCTTGTGGTGATGGTGATTATTGTGGTGATGATATTGTATGAGGGTGACTGTTTCAGGGGCGGGGGGTGGCATGGATCATACATCCTTTGGTACGGCTCACACACCTATTGGCACAGATCACACACCCATTAGCACGGTTCTCATACCAAATGGCACGGGTCACACATCTATTGGCACGAGTCACACACCCTTTGGCACGGGTCACACGTTCATTGGCACGGGTCACACACCAATTAGCACGGGTCACAAACCCATTTGCACATCCCACACAGCTATTGGCACGGGTCACATACATGTTGGCATTGGTCACGCAACGATGGTCACACACCTATTGGCATGGGTCACACACCTATTGGCATGGGTCACACACCTATTGGCATGGGTCACACACCTATTCGCATGGGTCACACACCTATTGGCACGAGACTTGAGAACGGACATTAACATGAACATCGTTAAAGTTTGGGCTCAAAGCCTTAAGACACCAAATAAGTAGGTCCATTCAACTGATCAAATACATTGATCAAAGTCATATACTGAAAGAGCAATCAGAGCTGTCAGAGTAGTCAAGGCTTTCCAAGCAGTCAGGGTAGTGAGTGCGTTTGGAGCACTCATGGTTGTCAGAGCAATCAGAGTCTTGAGAGCAGTCAGGGTGGCTTTTTTGCTACCGACGAAGTCGACGCGACGTCACGATCACCCCCTTTCAATTACCAAGGACGCCCCATTGTCGTCATTACAAAGAGGCAAAGAACTATTCTGAAATACCAAGGATTCACGTCGGCACCATATTTCAATGCTATATATTTCCTTATTCGTTAATCTATAGAGAAGTCAATAAGCGAATCGGATCGAGGATGAAATAATACCGAAAGTTTCATCTTTAAATTTTTTAATTCCCGAGTCATCAAAAGTCGATGCCAAAACAAGGGGTAGTGAAAGAGGTAGTAAGTAAGATAAGTCAGAGCTAACGATTTTCTTTTGGAGCAGCTGTTCGTGACTTTATTTTCCCTCTCTAAACACATTTGATGTCTCCCTTATTTAAAACTGTTCTTTCTCACAGGCTTACTTGAACCAGATCAAACAATTTAAGGCGGCCAATGTCGGTCTCGGGGGTGTTGGCGTTCAGAGTCATTTCCATCGCTACGAAGCCCCTGACCCAACTCTCTTGAAGGTAAATTATTCCGGCGTTGTATTCCTGTTATGTCTTTGACGTGATAGACTTCACGGGCATTACAGGAGGAATGAGTGGAAAAAGGGGGGGGGGGGAAATCCTTTGATATCCCATTCTTTTGAAACCTATTTTGTTTTGTTTCTTAAAAAATATTCACTAAGTTTGAAAAACATTTGGTTGTCCTCAGTGTAGGTATATAGCTCCAATTGTTTAAAAAAAAACTAGTTACTCTAGTAAGAGTTCTTGGAGGGAAAAGTTCACAAATTATTACTCGCTGCGACAATTTTTTGTAAGGCTGCACCATTTTAAATAAAGAACATGGTTAAGCTCATTAACAAAAATTCTAGCGTTAGTCATTCCAAAATTTGAACGAATCTTGACCTTGGCAGAGGGACATCACATTCAGTTATTACTCTGCAAACATATACAAGTTTCGTTTTCATTCTTAACGCACATTGACACAAACTTGGGTTACTTGCAGAAGAATATATAAAGAAACTTTAGCATTTACTAAAAAAAAAGTAAAGTTAAATCGCAAGCATTTATTTTGATTTATCCAAAGCACCGATTGGACCTTCTGGCACAACCAGGCTTACCTATATGGGTAACGGAACTCGATCTGGCAGCCCCTGATGAGAACACGCGCGCTGATTGGTCAGTAAGACTTCTTCTAAATAATTTTTCAATCCTTCGTGGCATAGGGCTAGAGCCCAAACTTATAATGGAGGATTGACCCTAAGCAATGGTGGCACGATTCATTACTCAAAATAATGTGCATACAGTGCTTTTCCGATGAAAAAAATGATAATATAAATTGTTTAAACTTATTTGTAGCACGGTTTCCTGGAGTATTTTCATCATTTGTACTGAGCTCTTCTACTATTGAATAAAATGACCTTATTGTTTTGTTTTTTTTTATATTTATTTTTTTTATATTTATTTTTTATATATTTATGTATTTCTTTATATTTTGATAGATTTAATTTTGTAAAATTATTTTTTTTACTAGAATTAATCTGTTGTTATCAAGATAATAATGGCGTAAATTTCTACCTGCTATTGCAAACACTCAACGCAATTTCGAACTTTCAAAAGAAGTTTCTATGTAATGCTATTTACGTTTCTAGCAACCTTACGTTTGAATAAATATTTAGTTTCTATATGTTATACGCCTACCCTACTCCCTTTCACGCTCCTAAACTACATTTTGTTATATAAACATAGCCTTAAATTACCCAATCTAAATTATCACTAATTATATCACTTTTGACACTAAAGATAATAGTTGAGGGAAGATTTCTACGCTAGAGGAATTCTTTAGATTTACCCCTTTTCGTGCTCTTCATTTACAACTTTTTTCTCTAAAAATTGTTTAAAAAATTAATAAGATGATAGAAATATATTTTTTTAAAAAGTAGTTTGATATATTGATTTCTTCATCAAAAATTCAAACTCACTTTTGCTCTAATTATACATTATCAGAAAATAGTAAAACAAAGAATTCTTTCTTCTAAAGAATATTCTTGCAAATGTTTTTCACGTTTATAACAGACTTCAGTGTCTTTTAAAAAATATTTAAATTGTTAATCTTATAAAACTACACACCCACTTTACTTGTCGCAAAGTAAAATTAAAAATATTTTTTTCATTTTTTTTAAAGAATATATTAACCAATCTCCATTTTTCAAAATTAAATTTTCAACTATGTGAAATCATTGAGTTTTGAGATTCATGGGTATACTTATACAAATGCACCCATGTTTTGTTAACGCCGTTGATTTTCTTAATTGGCAAACATATGTTTATCTATAAAAAGAGAATGTAACATCTCTTTTTTCACAAATGTAATACCATAGGATTTAAATATATGGTCATCCACGTAAAAATGGTCACAACCTAATTTCCTATCTCCGACATATATGTACTCCAGAAGGTTAATTATTTAACGAATTCATTTCTTCATTTTGAAACAATCTTGTGCTGGCTTGGTCAAAATGAACATACCCATATTTGTAAAACAAGAATATCACGTCTCTTTTTCACACCTGTAATAGCATAGGATTTAATATTGTCATCCACGTAAAATTGTGCACATCCTATTTCCTACCACCGAAATATATGTACCCAAGAAGTTTAATGATTTATCAAATTCATTCCTTTATTTTGATTGATTGATTGATTTGATATTTATTTCGCGCCGGTATCCATGCTATTTTAGCATGGCTCACTGCGCTCTGGTCCTCCGAAATCTATTTAAACAAAACATTTTTAAATTGTTTCTTAAATGATTTTTTTTATCATTTACCATTCCCCTCAAAGATTGAGGCATACTGTTCCATAATTTTGGCGCTATTGCTTCAAAGAGCGCACTCTGTACGACTTTTTTTAAAGACGTATCTTGTGCTGCCTGAGGCAAAATGACTATCCCAACCCAGATCTAAATAAAATTAATAAAATCTTTCACCGGATTGTTGCCCCTAGTCCCTTCCATACCTAAACTATTATATGTTGCACTTCATATGGTTTGTTCTTATTTGGATGAGTTATATGTGGATTAGTGAGTGCTATTTGGCTATAGCGTTTCGCTGCACCGTTTGACTTAAACGGCATTTTCTTATTAGAACTACAGATAAAGGCCACGTCTTTATTGCCTTATACATTAAATAAAAGGTATATTTTTTTAAATGTAAAAGTTAAAAACCTATTAAATGTTAGAAATACATAGCTAAAATTTTGTGTGCTTTTTATTAAAAATTTAAAGAGCAATCAAATGTATTTATTAATTTTATTTTTAAGAAGGGGGGGAAATACATTATCAGTTTAAAACGCGCGGTTATTAAATCAAAGAAACTTAAAAGTTTGGCGAACATAGGCGATTCGCGCTATGACGTCATTTACGTGTTTATTCAGAAAAAAATTAGTTTTAACTTTATTTTGCAATATTAACAACGCACTAAAAACACACTAATAAACAACCAATGCTTGTGTTTTCCCGATCAATGTTTTTACGATGTAATTTTTAGATCATAATTTTTGTATGAAATTTTATTTTTCATAACTTTTAAATTTGGATAAAATGCACAAAATAGTTCCTTAGTTGATACTTTAAATGTATTTGTAATTTATAATAATAATACTTAAACTTTATTAAAATAAAAGCGTATTTATTTTATTTTTTGGCGCATATAAATTTATTCGATTTCCGTAAAATAATAGAAAATAACTATAATCGTTTTTAAGATTTTGAACGTATTGAAATCTTTGCGGTTCTTTTGCGTTAGTCAGCTTCGCTCATTCTTATATATATATATTTTTTTTTTTATTTTTTTTTATATCTTTGTTTTTTTTATAATCTATATTTATTTTTTATATTTATTTATTTTTTTATAAATTTTTTTAAAAAAAAAAATATATTTAAATATATATGATTATTTTTTTTAACTATAATCGTTTTTAAGATTTTGAACTTATTGAAATCTTTGCGGTTCTTTTGCGTTAGTCAGCTTCGCTCATTCTTATATATATATATTTTTTTTTTATTTTTTTTTATATCTTTGTTTTTTTTATAATCTATATTTATTTTTTATATTTATTTATTTTTTTATAAATTTTTTTAAAAAAAAAAATATATTTACATATATATGATTATTTTTTTGGTGGGTGAAGGATCAAAATACTAAGTTGCTTTAGAATGAATTTATTTTTTTTTAATTTAAAAATTAAACATTCCTTTGTTGCAATGAATTGTTAAGTTGTGTATAAACAGTATCCTATATCTCGTTTTAAACATTATAGACGACGATTCTAAGCCATTTTGCAGCGTCAACCCGCACCCCAACCCCCAGCCCCCTAGATTTTAACAAATTCCCGCATTCCATGTCGATTTTAAAATCTCTTTCCCACAACCTCCCCAACCAGTTCTGAAGATAAAAAATAAAGTTCTTATAATATGCAAACAATCCAGACTAGGTCTGTCCTGTGGGATCCGGAACCGCTGATTAAGAGCCCATATTATAGAAAAATATAGACAAATAGAGCGTGCTCTGTGAAAACTGCAATTCTATATTTTACCCATGTATCCAAGCCCTAGATACGAATAACGTAGCTCTTTAAATATACCCTTTTTGACATGTATCGTCCTTCGCATGCGAAGATGACCAAGGTTACGACTTGAGTAGTAGCCATGACTTGAGCTGTATTTTGTTAAAAATGATGAAGTGTTTCTCGATTCGTCAGCCTCTCTATCTCGTCCTTCCCTATTTAATCAAATGGCATGAATTTATCCAGATGGCTGGAAAAAATACCAGGTTACAGTAAATGACCACATGTGGGTTTTTTTTTTTTGCTTTATTTTTTGGTGTATCACATTGTGTTCTTTATGCGTTCCACGTTGAAGAATTTTTCATTTCGTCAATGTCGTTGCATACGGTGTTGTTTTTTCCCTTTCTATTCCTTCTTTCGTTACATGGCTTCACTCAGTTTAGACCGCTTGGCATCCATATCAAGGCGATATTGAATAAAACTGCAACCAATGGATCTTTTCATATCTGTCATTGTATTGATTTTTTCCTCCCCAGGTATGAGACAGCTCTGAGACTTTACTTCAGTCACCCGGCCGTTGAAGGGATCATTTTCTGGGGATTCTGGGATCACGACATGGATCCCAAGAGGGCCCTTGTTCACGGCTATACTTTCACGGTGGGCTTATTCATAAATGATGTCAAATGTAAATCTTAAAATATTTTTATAAAAAAATGTTTGAAATGCTTCTTTACATTGAACGCATCATACTCTGCTCCAAACACAAAGCTCGAGTCAAGATTTTGGGATGTTCGGTACATCATACATTTTCACCAAAAAAAAAAAATTCACGATCCAGGGAAAACGTGTTTGTCTCCATTTAATTACTTTTTCAGAATAAATTAGATTGGAGACGGTCGGAACCAATTAAAAATGTCCCTTTACCTCGCCAGAATTAGCCACTAAAACAGTCCTTTACTTTTTTAACAATTTACATTGGGAGAGTTAAGTTGTTTTTTTTTAAAAAAAGATTATTTTATGGATCCAAATAAATGGAAGTGCTAGATTGTACACATTTATTTTTCCAGCACTTTGATAAATACTCTTACCAAGATTTTAAAAAAAAAATTATATTTCAACATAATATTTAAATACAGCACATCTAAAGAAACTCAAACGCACCACTCAGCCGTCATACGCTATAAAACTCAGCCGTCATACGCTATAAAACTCAGCCGTCATACGCTATAAAACTCAGCCGTCATACGCTATAAAACTCAGCCGTCATACGCTATAAAACTCAGCCGTCATACGCTATAAAACTTAAATCCTTTAGTGACAATATTGACTTTCAGAATGATTATTTAGACGTAATAAGAGCAGGGGGGAGCACGCTGGTAAATTCTGATAGGGGAAATGATATTTTACATATGATTCTGTCCTATATATTGTTCGTCCGTCGAGGATCGACGAGGACCATCGAGTCGTCTGGTGACTGATGACTTGCGCGGATGACTTTGTTTAAAGTGAAGAAGAGTTGCGCGGCGTCTACCTCACTGTCTCGTCCGAGCCCACCATATCCAGTGGCAAGACTCTACGTCAAGACGACCAGGGATGGGTTCGGTTGCAGGAATTGTCATTGTTTGCGCCTTACGGGACTCCAACTCCGGGTTTGAATTCAGAGTTTCCTTCTCTTAGATGATTTGCTGACCAAGGTTAACGAGTCTCATCCACCCGGGGTGATGTTTTTACTTGACTGGCCTTTGGCTGGACTTGTACACCAGACCACCAACTTGAGGTTTGCTCAGTTTAGACCATTTGGCCACCCAGTCACCCTGTCCTGTGATTCTGTCCTAAGTTTGAAGGCATGACTTCGCCTTGAAGGAGCTCATCATAGGAACTGTGATGAAGTGGGTGGCATACATCGTCAGAGTTTTACAAATTCATATTGCTTCAGAGAATTATTCTAGGGGGTTGGGGGTAGTTTTGTTTGAGCGATATCCATTGCTTTCTTAGTAGCTTTTTTTAAAAATTGGTGTATGATGAAGGAAGATGAATTCCCACACAACAGATAATGGTGAGGTCCTTTAGGCTTCCCATTATTGCGTTTCGAATATTTTAATAATTTACTTTATATACATTTAAAAATAATTTTAATACAGATTGTAATAGTTATGATAAAATGATAGAAATAATAATAGAAAATTATTTTTTTTCTGAAAAACACTAGCCGCTTTTTGTTAAAAAGGTTTGTTGTATGAAAATGCTGTAAAATTATCCACAGCTGGACAAGGCCGGTTTGCGTTACCTCCATCTGATCAAAGAAGAGTGGAGCACACATCTGAACAGATCGCTGTCGTCGGGAACATCTTTCACCGCCAGGGGTTTCCAGGGAGATTACAACCTGGTCGTGTATTACAAGAACAAACCCATCAAGACACAGACTTTCTCTGTGGGGAAGACGGACGCCACGGTCAATGTGCAGATATCTGGAGACGGAAGTGAGTAACTGATGGCTTCTACTTTCAACAATGGCATTTATATAATTACCAATTTTAAATTCATATATTCTCGTAAGGGGAATTTTTAAAATATAAATTAAGGTTTGGAGGATCCTGGAGATTTTAAACAGATTGAATAATGCATTTAATTCTCTGTTAGTCAAAATGTGTAGTTACAATACAATACACTATTTTCATTTTTGGCTTTTCATTCTGGTGGCGATAAATAAATCAAGAGGCGTGTTTTGAAAAAAAGAAAAGAAATATATTGTAATATATTTTATCTTTATTCCTCTTTCAGATGAGATCCAACTCCCGGTCCAGCACAATCCATTCGCGAGTGTCGCCGTGACCCACTCCACCACCAGCGCCGGTCTGAGAAACGAAGGGACGGCCACATCAACGTCCACCTCCCATCAGCTGTCGTGCGTCACCAGGTGGTCAGGCGTGTCCGAGGTGGGATACAACAAAATAACCGAGGTGTCCTGTAACGCGAATGAGATTCTGACCGGCTGTACCAGCTACCTTAAGGTGAGGCCTGAATGGTTGATACTGACTTACTGAACCAGCTACCTTAAGGTGAGGCCTGAATGGTTGATACTGACTTACTGAACCAGCTACCTTAAGGTGAGGCCTGAATGGTTGATACTGACTTACTGAACCAGCTACCTTAAGGTGAGGCCTGAATGGTTGATACTGACTTACTGAACCAGCTACCTTAAGGTGAGGCCTGAATGGTTGATACTGACTTACTGAACCAGCTACCTTAAGGTGAGGCCTGAATGGTTGATACTGACTTACTGAACCAGCTACCTTAAGGTGAGGCCTGAATGGTTGATACTGACTTACTGTACCAGCTACCTTAAGGTGAGGCCTGAATGGTTGATACTGACTTACTGAACCAGCTACCTTAAGCTGAAGCCTGAATGGTTGAGACTGAATTACTTTATCAGCTACCTTAAGCTGAAGCCTGAATGGTTGATACTGACTTACTGAACCAGCTACCTTAAGGTGAGGCCTGAATGGTTGATACTGACTTACTGAACCAGCTACCTTAAGGTGAGGCCTGAATGGTTGATACTGACTTACTGAACCAGCTACCTTAAGCTGAAGCCTGAATGGTTGAGACTGAATTACTTTATCAGCTACCTTAAGGTAAGAAATAAATTGTTGATTCTAACTTACTGTTCTGGCTACCTTAAGGTAAGGACTGAATGGTTGATACTAAATTACTGTTATGGCTTCTTTAAGGTAAGGGCTGAATGGTTGATACCAACTTACTGTACCAGCTACCAAAATGTAAATAATTAGAAGTTTATACTGACTTACTGTACCATCTACCTTAAGGTCTAGGACTGAATGGTTGAAACTGACTTACGGTGTCGGCTACCTTAAGGTAATGATGGCTGACTTGAGTTACTTTTCTGGTACCTTAAAGTAATGATACAGTGGTCGATATTTACTGTCCGAGTTTAATCATTTTAAAATCTTTTAAATTAAATTTGTTTTTGTTTCTTAGTTTCTTTTTGGTTGGGTGGAAAAATCTTCGGGCAGCTGATTGACCAACTTCCCGTCAACCTATCGAGCTAAAACTTTGCACATAAAAAGTTACCGTTGGCCACATACGCATTTAAATTTTCATCCCCAACCCCCAAAAATAAGTTTTCCCCGTTTTTCAAGTGAAAAATGAAAGCGATATGATGACACTGATTTTATGAAATTAATCTACGGATAAATGCGCGAAATGGCATTAATGGTATTGCAGGTATGTTGGGTGCGTAATATTTTATTTTTGTTCTGAAATAGATGGTGATATCAATCTGCGATATAAAAGCAGGTGGGAAATTTTAAGATTAATATAAAATAAACTTTAAAAAAAAATAATATATAAGAATTGAAAAGAAGAAAGTTTGTTTTGGGGCTGGGTGTAATTAAAAATCATTTTTATTTTTTAAATTATGTTTATATTATTATTATTTATATTATTTTGGTTTACCGACAACAATGTTTAATAGATTTATGACCGTTGATGTTCCTCAACATGTTGACAAAATTTTCAGCAGGTCTTGACCTCAAATTAAAACTAAAAAATCTAAGACCCATTACCAAACTACCACAATGGTAAAAAAGAACAAGGGACATTTTTTGGTCAACGTCATGCATAGATTTAGGAGGACATAATGATTTGTTTAATTGTGCATGTTAGTTGTAGGGGGGTTCGGCACGGTGAATCTCAAGTTGTTTATCTACTTCTTTGCATTTGTATATATGTTTTTATAAGTAAAGCGTGTTTTGAAAAAAAAAAACATTTCTGTAGCGTAGACAAATCAGTAATTTCTTAGTCATTATTTGGAACCTAACGTGTGTTTTATCCTATGAAATGTTGTCAAAAGTAAACTAGAAACTTTTAGCTATATCATCATTGTATGAGAGAAATACAAGCCTGTTCAAGATGTGTGTTTTAGGGATTAAAAAAAAAATTGCAACCAGTACTCAGCAATATCCCAGATGTAATCATTAGTATGTGCTCAACTTCTATGACAGAACAACGACTGGCACCGAGATGGAGAACAGATTAGGTTCAGCAACGGAGAAGCCACTTGTAGAGCTATCAACGGCTACGCGACAACACTGGGTAAGGAAGACAACCCAGCCTTTATGAACTAACATTATGATTATAATACATTTAAATGATAGTGTCACAACCAAATCTTCCGAGAGGAGATTTAATTATCGTCTTTTTAGTCGCACTTTGAACGAAGTGGCTATTCGTACCCTGGTACCAGAAGTGAGAGTTTGGGATTAAAAAAAATATTTAAAATTTTATTGTTGGGTTTGTAAGACACAATGAGGTATCAAATGAAAGATAATTGAATGGACTATATGTTTGTAAACATAATTCTTCAGTTTAACTAAAATAAGATGCCACAAATGACATCCGAATACCATTCAGTCAAAATGGACCCAGACACGCAGCGCCACCTTTCGCACCCGGGTACCATTAGATTCGAGCTATTCGGATGTCATTTGTGTTTTTTTTTTTTTAAATTATACATTATCAGAAAATCGTCAAACAAAGAATTCGTTTATCTAAAGAAGGATCTAGCAACCGTTTTCTCGTCTATAACACATTTCTTTGTCTTTTTTTAAATTGTTAATCTAATAAAATTACAAATCCACTTTACTTTTTGCAAAGTATAAACAAAAATATTAATCATTCTCCATTTTTCAAAAATTAAATTTTCAACTGTGTCAAATGATATGGTTTTGATAGTCATTGGTATACTTATATAAACATGACCCACATTTTGTTATGCCGTTGATTTTCTTAATTGGTAGACATATGTTTATTGGTAAAAAGAGAATGTAACCTATCTTTTTTCACAAATGTAATACCGTAGGATTTAAATATATTGTCATCCACGTAAAAATGGTCAAAACCTATTTCTTACCTCCGATATGTATGTACCCAAGAAGGTTAATTATTTCTCAAATTCATTAATATATTAATAGTAGGTATCTTGTGCTGCCTGGGACAAAATGACCACCCCCCACGCACAGTAAACAAAATTAATAAAAACAGGCCCGTTCTTAAGCATACGCTGACTACGCATCCGCGTAGGGCCCCGAACGTGAGGGGGCCCCCATGAGGCGCCCTCGATCCCCTGGTTTTTTTTAAAACTGGCACTGCAGCCGTCTGTGTCACTCAAGTAACCTTCCTCATCCTGAAATTTATCATTCTGAGTTGAATTCGGAGGCAGGGGAAGGTAAGCAGCAAGGGGGGGGGGAGCTTTGGGGGTGGCAGACAGGAAATCGAGGGCTTTGTCGTGGGAATGGGAAAGAGGAAACATCGATGAAGGCAGAATGGAGGTGCCGCAGTGGTGGGTGGTGTGTTCTCCTCAGCTCGAAACTGGCACTGCAGCCGTCTGTGTCACTCAAGTAACCTTCCTCATCCTGAAATTTATCATTCTGAGTTGAATTCGGAGGCAGGGGAAGGTAAGCAGCAAGGGGGGGGGGGAGCTTTGGGGGTGGCAGACAGGAAATCGAGGGCTTTGTCGTGGGAATGGGAAAGAGGAAACATCGATGAAGGCAGAATGGAGGTGCCGCAGTGGTGGGTGGTGTTTTCTCCTCAGCTCGAGGGAGCTCAACCCCCGGACCACCCCCTTCCGGGGCCCCCAACCTATGCTCAATGCTCAGGGCCCCCAAACTCCTAATAATGGCTCTGATAAAAATCTTTAACCATATTTGTAGTCTTTCAATACCCAAACTGACATATGTTGCGCTTCATATGATTTGTTTCTATTTGCATGTGTTATAAGTGGATTAGTGAAAGTTATTTGGCTATGGAGTTTCGCTGCACTGATTGACTTAAACGTCATTTTCGTATTAGAAGTATATTTAGAGGCAGGGTTTTTATTACGTTATAAATTTAATAAAGGTATATTTTTTTTTTGAATTAAAAAAAGTAAAAGCTTAATAAATGTAAGAAATAAAAAGCTAAACTTTTTTTTTTTTGCGTTTTATTAACAATTTAAAGAGCAATCGATTATATTGATTAATTTTACTTTTAAGAAAGGGGGAAATATATTATCAGTCTTGTAACAAGCGGTTATCAAATAAAATAAAAAAAACTTAAGAGTTTAGGCTAACATAGGCCATTCAAGCTTTAACTTCATTTGCGTTTTTATTTTGGACAAATTATTTTTAATTTTATTTCGCTATCTTAGCAACGCACTATAAAAAAAAAACACTAAAAAACTGATATTTGTGTTTTTCCGATACATGTGATTACGGTGTAATACTTTGAGCATCATTTTTTTTTTAATTTATAACTTTCAAATGCATATTAAATGCTTAAGATAGTTCATTAGTTGTTACTTTTAATGTATTTGTAATTAATAATAATAATACTTAAAATTTAACTAAAATTAAAGGGGATAAATACTATTTTTTGCTAATTTAAATTTATTTGATTTCCGTTAAATAATAGAACATAACTATAATCTTTTTTTATGAATCCGAACGTATTTAAATCTTTTCGGTTCTTTGGCGTTACGGCCAGCTTAGCTCATTCTTATATATATTATGTCTGTATTTTATAAATGCTTTCCACTTAAACTAACACGCATCATCGTAGCGTTATGCTTTGTTACACTTGAGCGTCCATTAACGCTATGCTTTTTTACACTTGAGCGTCCATTAACGCTATGCTTTTTTACACTTGAGCATCCATTAACGCTATGCTTTTTTACACTTGAGCGTCCATTAACGCTATGCTTTTTTACACTTGAGCATCCATTAACGCTATGCTTTTTTACACTTGAGCGTCCATTAACGCAATGCTTTTTTACACTTGAGAGTCCATTAACGCTATGCTTTGTTACACTTGAGCGTCCAAAAATGTTATGCTTTGTTACACATGAGTGCCCATTAAACGCTATGCTTTATTACACTTTAGTGCCAATAAAACGCTATGCTTTATTACACTTTAGTGCCAATAAAACGCTATGCTTTGTTACAATTGAGTGCCAATTAAACGCTATGCTTTGTTACAATTAAGTGCCAATTAAACGCTATGCTTTGTTACACTTTAGTGACCATTAAACGCTATGCTTTGTTACACTTTAGTGACCATTAAACGCTATGCTGTGCCGTGAGAAAGCCGCTCCTAGGTGACTGTTTCGTTCCAGCTTTCGTCTCGACCAAAAGACTCCCTGGGTGGTGGGGGGTGGTAACGCAACATCTTCCCCCGAAGTGTACGCAAACCCGCCCAGACCCACGGGAGAGTGGACGGCGAACGCTTTAAACGCAGCGTTTTCGGTCGACTGGACGTTCCCCAGGCTGGGGGGCGGGGGTTCCCGGCGTGTTTCTGCACGGTCTGACGGTGAGGAGACCCGGCGTCCAGCTCGTGTGGTGGTGTCCCGGGGTGGGTATTAAGAGCTTGCGCTCGACGACCCACCGAGGACATTTCCCTATGTGACGTAAAAGTGAAGATTAACCGTGTTTATCGCTCCTCCAGGTATCCAGGCCAGCGCCAGGTGTTGCAGTCTAAGTGGCCTTACGTGTACATACAAGACGGCCGGACCATCAGGGAGTGGGGTAGATGACCAGGTCGTTATCCCGTGTGGTGCTGATGGTTACCCTCTAGGTCAGTGGATCCCACGCTTTTCATAATCTCGGTGTCGTTTGTGAATCCAGAGTTCTCCAAAAACTTGACCAATAATAAATTCTATTTTTAAAAATTTGCCGAATAGAGCATAATTTTTGTTTCTTTCCGATCGCGTAATTTTTTTTCTTTAGCAGTTTTTTAAATGCGTTAATTTCCTGTGTGTAATTGATGCGTTTGCTTCCATTGCTTACCTAGGATGTGCCACATTAAGCTACTTGTCAGACTCAGATGGTACTCTCATGACAAACACATCCTGCATTGGTCAAAATGACGGTGTGGCTGCTGGTAAGATGTCTGATAGTTTCATTATCTTTTAATGTTGAAAACTTGGACCCGGAAAGCAATTTTTTCTTTCGTGTAAAGCTAACAAATATCAAAGAGTAAGCGTAAATTGTTAACCCCAAGTGAAGCGCGGCCGTTAAAAACTTTATTTCGAAGCCTTCCTGTCTTTTGCAATCTTCTTTAACTCTTTCGTCGCTTTTCTATCAATATACCATCTTTTTCGACCACCTTTCGCTGGCTGTTTTGGTTTTTTCCCGGTTCTTAAACCTCGAGGGTACCATACCAGTGCTCTTCCGTGGTTATTTTTGGCATCTTTTTTTCTTTAAACGTATGTCTATATCCGATACTATTAATCTCAGCAAGGGTGGGAGGGGGCTATCTAAATAATGTAAGAATCGCAGCCATGCCAGATTTCTACAACTATTATCTGATGTAATCCAGAAACGGCAGGAAATTATATTTAGGTCAGACTTACAGACGCCTGTACATATAACGTACATTGTCTTCAAACCATCCTTTTAAAAAAAGGTTATATGCGAGACACCGTGGAAAAAGTATTCAATGTTATAAAGCATTCAAAAATATAAAGCATTCAAATTAATAAAACTTTTAGTGTTATAATGCATTACATGTTATAAAGTATTCAGTGTCATAAAGCATTCAATGTTATAAAGCATTCAAATTTTATGACGCACTTAATGTTTTAAAGCCTTCAATGTTATAAAGCCTTCAATGTTGTACTCAGTATTCAATTTTATAAGGCATTCAATGTTATAAAGCATTCAGTGTTCTAAAGCGATAATTGCTCTAAAGCATGCATTCTCTGTTCCAACATGCACAATGTACACTTAGTCGTGTGTCGTTAATGTTCCATTTCCAGGTGTGGTCTCATACGCCGCCTGCTGTAAAGGTGGAAACATCAAATGCACCAGCGCCCACTCAGCACCCGGTGGTCATCAGGTGGGCGCCAGATCCACTGTCCAGTGTCCGGCTGGTCAGGTCATGACGGGATGCAATGTGTACACACCCAACGCTAAAGCTGCCGGGGCCTTCATTGAGAGTAAGCCTATCTAACTTCTGCAGTGCTGTGTTAAATTGTTTGGTCTGAATGTCATGGATAGGGTTGTGTAAATTAAGTGTTTTACTGAATGTGTTTAATCCTCACTAACAACAGGTAAAACGGACAACAGGTTACGCTATCAGCATAACAGTTACGAACAATGATAATAGTTGAGGATTTATGCTATCGGCTCACACACTTACGACCTAAGGGTTTATTCTTTCTGATGATATTTAATTCTTTAACTTCGGAACAGTGGCGTTGCTAGGATTATTGTCGCCAGTTGCCAGGGGTGGGACGGGATTTTTGTCGCCCACTTTCACGAGCAAAAAAAACAACAACAAAAAACTCTGCAGTTGTCCCGAAATGGCGCCTATCCAAATAAAGAAAAAGAGGCCCTCCCGGGTTGGACCTCTACCTAGCTTCATACGCCTCTGCCTCGAAAGCCCTGTATACCGATAATTTTTACAGCTTGTAATATGAACACTTCATCGTGTAATCGTTCTCTTTTCATACCAATTCTGTCAAGTAACGTTGATTGGCGCCGTATATCAGCTCACACTAATAATGTTCAACTCCAACTCTGACTAAGAGAATCATTATCAAGGCTGCTATATAAAATAGTTTTTCTCTGTTTTTTTTTAAATTTTTTTTTTATTAGGATTCTTAGGAGTTGGTGGTTTGGGGGGGGGGGGGTTAATTAGTTTAAAAATCATTTTGAGATTTTCGGAAAAACGAGGTTTTTTTATACATAACATTTTTTTTATTGGGTTTTTTAGGAGTTGGTGGTTTGGGGGGGGGGGGTGATTAATTAGTTAAAAACTCATTTTAGGATTTTCGGAAAAACGAGTTTTTTTTATACATAACGATTGTCTTAACGCAATGATCATCTCTCTATGCCTAGCAACCAACGGAGTTGACCACTGCGTTGCCGTCAATGGCTACGAGAGGTTTGGAAATGAGGAAGGTGTTGTAGCGTACGCAACTTGCTGCCACGTATAACAGCTTGAGAGCTTTATGGATATTGAGACGACACGACGAGCCATCTTCTAAAAAACATAGAAGCGCGTCACTACGAAATCTCACACACATTCTAAGGGGGAAAAACCCACAAAAGATCTGTTGGACATTTAGAAGAAATGATGACCTGAAATTTTCATATACAAAATGGGATTGATTAAAAATTATCGATTTCAACAATTCTTTCTTTTCATCTGATTTTTCTTGTTTTTTCTAAGCGATAGACTATGGGGGTTTCTTCACCTGGTATAAATGTCCTTATCATTTGAATTATGTCTACATGTCCCTCTGGTATATATTGATCTAGATGAGGTACAGCAGCACCTTTGCAATAACAGCGTCATTGGGAACGGACCCTCGCCAATAAGTGAAAAACGTCGGTAAGTGAATTCAGGCTATTTTGTGACTCGCGGGAGCCTGCAAGCAAAAACTACGTACTATCTACTATATATTATATTAAGTTTGCGATAACGCCTACTATAAAACAGTGATTGACAAAGGAAATGTATGCAAAGTTTCCATTTAAAATTATGTTTAGCAGTTTTACGATAGCGTCTGTTCGGTGGTGCGTGCGTTTCCTTCCGCACAACACTTGGGGGGTAGTGAGCATCACGGGCGGACATAAAAGTGCGCCGTTATTGCGAAACGCCGTTAAGCCTTGAGTAGCCGTTACTGCGAGGTGCTACTAGGCGTATGTGCCGAGTTTCATGGCGCTGTTCATTTTTTTAAACATCATAATTGATGGGCGGCATTCAAGTTGGGTACATCAAATATAAGAACGAGGTATGTTGAACTTGAATTAATAGACAGTACAATAAGATTTGGTCGTTTCTTCTTAGAGCCTTCTTCAGCAAACAAGACAAATAGAAGTAAGACAAGTAACAGCACATAGTAAATAAAAACAAAAAAAACTTAATAGATTTCCTGTGTTGTTGCTGTCCCAACCCAATTCTAATACGCAATCTTCTTCTCTTTACTACGTACGAAACCACACAAGCTTAAGTCCCAGATCCCTTTTACCACAAATTGTTTAATATGTTCTTTAAAATGTATTTCTGCAGATAATTCCTTATATTAAATTATATATTTCCTTTCATTTAGCAGCCAACGGAGTCGACCACTACGTACTTGTCAATGCCTACGAAAGATTTGGAAATGAGGCAGGTGTTGTGGGCTAGGCCACTTGCTGCCATGTTTAACATCCTGAACTTGCCGGATGCGGAGACGAGAAGTCATCTGCAAAACATCAAACTCTCCCGTCAAGAGGAAATCTCGCGCTAACTTATATGATTGGCCGATGAAAGGCTCTGTTAGAAGAAGTCATTACCTGACATTTGCCTATGCAAACTGGGATTGCTTTTTGCAATTCAACATAATTCTAGTTTACAAGTTGAATGTTATCTGATCTGCTTTTTTTTTTCGTTTTTTTTCCGGGTTTTTTTTTCGTTATGTTTTTTTTTAAAGTTTAGATAATGCTTTGTTGCTCGATCTGGTCCGTTGTTTGGTCATTAAATTTTTTTTAACGAAAAAGGGCTTTGCAATTGTTAGTGTAAGACATAGTAATGTTTGAGTTCTGTTGGACATATTTATAATGTTTGACTGTGGACTTGGCTGTGGTAGGATGAAAGATGTTGAAAGAGTTGAGATTATCAGAAAAAAAACGATGGAGGTAGGAAGAGCTGTTAGATGAGACGAAGACAGATGTCTGTGGTCAGAGAAGACAAAACACTAACGTGGTTTATGATATGGTAGATGACCATCGTAAAGTTTTGACGGGTAATGTTGGATGGAAAGAGGTTGAGTGGGTAGATGAAATGAAATTTGTGCCTGGTAACACTTAAAAAAACTGCATGGTAACACTTAAAACACTGCATGGTAACAATTAAAACACTGCGTTGTAAGGATTAAAATTTGCATTTGAGAACTTTAAAAACTGCATGGTAAAAATTAAAACAATTCATGGTAAAAATTAAAACACTGCATGGTAACACTTAAAACACTGCATGGTATCTAATAAAACACTGCGTGGTATCACTTAAAAGTTGCATTTGAGAACTTTAAAACTGCATTTGAGAAAATTAAAAACTGTCTTTGAAAAAATCCAGATGTCCCCGCAGTTGGTAAGTTAGACAAAAAGTTAGTTGAGAAACAAGATAAAACACAAACAGGGTGTTGTGATGTGCTAGCTGGACGGGCGTTTTTACGTATGTTAAGTGTTCCACGTGTGGAAAAGTGATACATAACACTATAAGTCGATATTGCAAGAGTGATGGAAGCTAGTAAGTACCCAGACATTCTCCAACTCACCGTTGGATCAAATTTGTCGTGAGGCATAGTCTATGGCAGAAGATTTACGTATTAATTTTGATCAAGTGAATCCTAAAAAGCCTCCCAATAAATAGTGTCGCACCTTACGGCGTACTGTGAAAGAGCTGTCAGATCGGCATGATTTAGTTTTTACAGGGATGGCCAACAGACTAAAACCAGATGAAACAAATGCATTTACAACTTTTGTTATTGTTGCGGATGAAATCTTTTCTGATGGGCACGTAAACTGGGGAAGGATTGTCTCTGTTTATGCCTTTGCTGCACGAGTTGTCAAGTATTACATTGTCAATAATAAAAATGAACAATCTGATAACATAAATGAATCATATTCTTCGAGATCCATACCTTACCAAAAGAAGTTTGCTTTATGTGTTGTTCTCTTCACCCTATTTGTAATTATGTAGGGTTGACTTTTAAAGTTGATTAGTAAAAAATAGAAAATTACATAATTAAACCCACTTAAAATATACAAGAAAACTAATTAAAAATATAAGAAAAAATCAAAATACAATCAAAACACTTTGAGAACCACTCATTAGAAAATCGACCCCCCCCCCACATACTTTGAGACCCACTTAAAATATACATGAAAACGATTGATGGCGATTTTGAAAATTTGATCAAAATATTACATAAGAGCCTGAAAACCCGTTCAAAAATAAAGACCCCCCACCCCCATATCCCCTGAATAACGCTGGAATGCGCGTACATTCCACGACCCCCTACCCCCTCCCCGATTAACTACAGACTGTCCGAGTGATTTTCCCACGCCATACCCACCCCGTTTACTCACTGGTCACTACTAGTCCAGGTGATGAGTGTTTGCGCGTATATTCTATGGTACGTTTTGCGCTCCCCGCCCGCTGGCCGGTTTCGTTGATAACGTTACGCACACACGTGTAGAAAGGGTCCCTGGTCTGTAAAGTCTATGGAGAAATATAACTCAATGGTTTTCGTATTATTAAGAACACTAATTAAAAATATAACCCCCTCGACTAAAAATGTAAACAACACACTACAATAACTCTAATTAGGACCCTACTCGGTCCTCAAAATTGACAAGAAGAAACGTAAAACAGCTGTCATGCGTACAAAACATAACCCACTAAGCCTAAAAATTTAAACAACACACTACAAAAACGCTAACTATGAGCCAACTCGGTCCTCATACATGACAATAAGAAGAAACTTAAAACATCTGTCATGCGTACAAAACATAATACACTAAGCCTACACATTTAAACAACACACTAAAATTACGCTAACTATGAGCCAACTCGGTCCTCAAACTTCTCAAAAGAAGAAGCTTAAAGTCACCTGTCCTGCCTACCAAACTATATACAATAGACAAGAAAACTAATGAAAATACAAGCAAATATACAATCAAAACACTTTAAGAACCCGCTGAAAATGAGAAATATTTGATTACTCATCAATAAAATTCAATACACTTATCCTGTTACAACAGAATTATTCAATAACAAGAAGAAAACTCGTTATGATTCACACCTAACCACTTATTAGAAAATCAACCCCGACATAGTGATAACCACTTTAAATATACAAGAAAACTAATTAAAAATATAAGAAAACCTATTAAAATGCAGCCAAAAATGACCCCAATACTTTGAGAATCACTTAAAATATACAAGAAAACTAATTAATTTTTTTAATATATATATATATATATATATTCTCAAAACACTTTGAGAATCACTTATTAGAAAAAAATGAGAAACATTCAATAGAAATTTGAGAACCAATCATAATATTATGCAATTGAAAAAAAATGATGTATGTAAAAATTATGATTCTGTTGAATCTTACACTTGTATAGTAAAAATCATGATTCTGTTGAATCGTGCGATGGTCATAAAATATTGAAAACCACTCAATAGAAAAATTACATAATTTAAACCACTCATTAGAAAGTATACAATATTTACCATCATACTTTGAGACTCACTTAAAATATGCAAGAAAAAATAATTAAAGTCAAATTACACAATGAGTATACTAATTATAAAAATTGACAACCACTCAATAGAAAATTGAGACCCCTTCAATAGAAAGTAAGAACAACTCATAATAAATTATATAATAATTACAATCAAAGCACTCTGAGAACCACTCATTAGAAAATACACAACATTTATCATCATACTTTGAGATCCACTTAAAATTATATAATAATTAAAAAGAAAAATAATTGTCCAACAACACAAAAATACTCAAATTACACAATGAGCATACTAATTATTAAAATTGAGAACCACTCAATCGAAAATTGAGAACCATTCATAATAAAATTATATAATTAAAAACCGTCCTACAACAACACGTGAAAATCTAAACAATCCCTCTTGAACGATACGAATTTTCTGCCGACCCCCCCCCCCTCCCAACCCTTGCACTAATCATTCGAATGGTAAATCTCCTGAATCAATACTTACCCCCCATATCCCACACCTGTGGGTACAGTCATTTGTATTGTTTTATGCGCACGTCTACAAAAAAACAGTGTGGGTGTGGGTTGGCTAGTCAGTCTGATGCGGACAAGTGCGGACAAAAGTAGAGGGGGAATTTTGAGTTTCGATATTTATTAAGAGCCCCAGAAAGTGCCTGACCATTATGTTAGTGATGGTTGTCGCTTTATTTGTTCTTAAGGATCGTTTAGTTTGTTCATAAAGATCGCTTAGTTTGTTGTTAAAGATCGTTTAGTTTGTTGTTAAAGATCGCTTAGTTTGTTGTTAAAGATCGCTTAGTTTGTTGTTAAAGATCGCTTAGTTTGTTGTTAAAGATCGTTTAGTTTGTTGTTAAAGATCGCTTAGTTTGTTGTTAAAGATCGC